TTTCGCATTTTTTCTTGGTGCAAACTTTGGCGATTATTTAATTTATTTAACCTATTATGCTGAATATTAAATTCTGGTTGTTTTGTGCAATTTTTCTAATTTCCAAGGCTCAGATGGAAACTAAAGAAAAAACTATTGTTTACTGGGGCTATCTAAGCTGCCAGCAAAAGATATTATCAACGAAATGTGGGATAAATGAGCGGAGAGCTACCACACTGACTCATCTTTTCCTTTTCGCGTTGTTACTGACCCAAAGTGGGGATGTTGAAAAAAACCCTGGTCCTATCGAAACCATTGAAACAGTCTACGGTATCTGCTCAAAAAATTGTGCAAATCTTAAATTTGTTCATTTGAATTTTCAAAGTATTATTAGAAAACGGATGCAATTGAAAAAATTTCTTGATGATATGGGCGAAAACACAATTATAGGAATTTCCGAAACGTGGCTTAAAAAAGAAGATAGTGACAATTTATGGAATTTCCAACCTAGAACGCATGCGATGTTCAGATATGATAGGCAATCAGCGGTAAAAAAGAAAGCGGTGGCGTTTTGTTATATATACCAGTCAAATTGGCTCCGAAATTGAGGCCTGATCTAAATTTATTTGATAAAGAAAAATATGAGTCAGTGTGGGTTGAGTGCAAATCTACATTTAACATTTCGAGTAAAGAAAAAATGTTAGTTAATTTGTGTTATAACCCAAGCAGATCAAACTTTATTGATTTTTTGGAACAATTAACGCTTAACATAGATAATGCTTTTTCAGTTTCTAATAAAATTACGCTTTTGGGTGATTATAACATAAATTATCTGGATAGCAAAGAAAAAGAAAATTTAGATTCTATAATTATTCCATATGGATTGAAGGTTTTTTGTCCAAACGATGAGACCAGAATTAGTTCCTCAACAAAAACTCATATCGACTACATAATCAGTGACTATGAAACAAACGGCATTGAGTTTTGTTTTGATACACCTTATAAAACCGACCATTTTGCTTCATTTATTTTGACGGATATAAAATGCGGCAAAATTTTACCGAGGATAATTACGACTTTCAATAAGAAAAATTATCAGAAAAATGAATTTTGCAATTCACTCTCCGCTCTTCCTTGGTATCTCTTATATCAATGTACAGACGCACAAAACATGTTCTCGACGATGATTTATTTAATTTCTTGTGCTCTACAGCAACATGCTCCTATCGAAAAAAAGTTTGTTCGTAATTTTAAACCAAAAAACGTGTTGAAAACGGAATGGTTCGATTCAGAATGTCAGCAATTGTTGACTAAGAAACAGAATTCACTCAGATCATATCGCAGTCAAAGCACAAGCGATAATTGGTCAAAGTACCAGTTTTTACGTAATCAAATGAGCAAATTGATTAGAAGTAAACAATTCGATCATTCAAAAAATTGTTTTTCACTTCTCAGCACTATCCAACAAAAATGGAAATATATTAACCAAGTTAGAGGTACATGTTCTGGCAACCATCGAATTACAGTTCTACGAAATTCCTTCAGTGAAATGATAACCCAAGACAAAAAAATTGCCAATCATTTAAATTATATTTTTTCAAACTTAGGCGAATTTTTCGGCGCTAAAAAGCCTCCGAATTACAACAAATCTGCCTCTGAATCTGCATCTTTTCATTTTCAACACATTACAGTGAAGCAATGCTTTGATATAGTTCGAAAAATCAATGTTGGAAAACCTCTCGGACCTTGTACCGTACCTGCTTGGGCAATCATTGACGGTCAATCAGTTATAGTTCCACATTTAACTTTTGTCATAAAAACTTGCTTAGATGAGAACATTTTCCCGATCGAACTGAAAAAAGCAAACGTAACCCCTTTGTTCAAAAAAGATGACCCAATGGATGCAAAAAATTATCGGCCAATATCAATAACTTGTGCTTTTTCTAAAATTTTTGAAAAAATTTTACATGCCCAAATAACAGAACATCTTGACAAATTTCAAATAATGACACCATTTCAATTCGGATTTCGCAAAAACATTTCAACACAAGATGCTCTTGTTTATGTGACAGAAAGTATTCGAAATCAAATAGATTCAAAAAAAATCGTACATGCAGCTTTATTAGATCTGTCCAAGGCTTTTGATTCTATTTCGCATGAAGTTTTAATTGAAAAAATGCTTTCTCTCGGTTTTTCAAATGGAGCAAATGCTTTAATTGCTAGCTTCCTAAACAAACGTATTCAAAGAGTAAACGTCAATGGAATTTTTTCAGACTGGATTGAAAAAAAACGAGGTGTCCCACAAGGAACGGTACTTGGTCCGTTGTTGTTCAATATTTATGTTAATGACATACAAGAGCGATTATATGAGGGTTGTACTTTAGTTCAATATGCTGACGACTGTATGGTTTTTTCCTCTTCTATAATTTCTGAGGATGCTTTGAATCGATTGCAAAAATCACTCAATAATCTAACGGAATTTTTTGCAGAGAACCAATTGAATCTGAATGCATCTAAATCGGAATTTATAACATTTTGTCAAAAAAATGATAGCAAAAATGTGGATACTGATAAACTAGTAATTAGTGGGCATTATGTAGCCAAAAAATCAGAATGCAAATATTTAGGCATAATTCTTGATTCAAGTTTATCTTTTCATGCTCAAATCAAAACAATTCTCCAAAAAATGGCCCAAGGGATTAAAACTATTGATACAATTGGACAACAACTGCCGACATTATCATTAGTTGCCTTGCTTCATTGTCTTGTTTTATCACATTTAGATTATTCAGCAATTTTTTTACAACAAATTAATGCTACTTTGATGCTATCTCTGGAGAAACAGTTGAACTGGGCGCTAAAAAGAACATATTTCAGATCGAATTTTAAATCTTCTTCCCTTCTTCGCATTAGCAAATCGTTCATTGGAATCGAGAAAAGAATTGAGTTAAAGTGTATAACATACTTATACCAATATCTTACAAACAAAAAGAAGGCTTTTGAAAATACACTGAGACTACCGACTGCCAATTATAGGCTCAACGAAAGAACGAAACAAATTATTTTTGACAAACATTGTTCGACTGCTTCTCTACAAAAATCATTTTTTCATTTGACTTCTAAAAAATGGAATTCACTGCCCATAATTTTGCGCAATTTAGAAAAATCGAAAACAGAATTCAAGAAAAAATTGAAAGAATTTTACGTGAGTGAATTGAGAAACAATCCTATATGTACTAATACAAATACGTGGCGTGATTACCGTTTTTGCTAGTTCTATATTTTTTAATTCAGTTTAATTTTTCACACATTGCTTGAAAGAGAAACTGTATATACTCTGCATATACGTTGTATAATTGGACTATCTGTAAAATTGTTTGTAAAGTTTTATTACCAGCTTGTTCCTAATTCTTAAATCTTTAATTTTCTATAGTATCCGAAACTTCATATACTTTAATCAACCAATTTCCGAACTGTAACCGATTTTGTTTTTTTTTGTTTTGTTTATTGCTTGTTTTCTGATGTTTTGTTTTTGTTTGATGTAACCAATGAATTTATAACCAATTTTATTATTTACACTTTGCTACACTGATGCCTCGGCTTTTTATTGTATAGTAATTCAAGTGTTCTTTCTTCTTCTCTTCTTCTTATGAACTAAAAAAAAATTGTTTGAAAATATACTGCGACAGCTTTCTGCAAGGCGAAATAAACGATTTGAGAGCTCTATGTGTCTTATTCTCAAGGGACCTGATTATTTTCAAGTGACCACTCTATCATAGTAGTACCGAGCATTGACTTTGAGGATTTCCTATCATTTTCTGTCTGCTAGATTGCAATGCTGTTTGTAAGGTATCGCATTCGCGAAATTTAGCTTCGACTGTATGAAATAATGATTCACGTATGTTCGGCGAACTGATACTTCGGCTCATTGATAGTTCATTGATTTTCTTATTGTAGCCTATTTTACTGAGCGCAATGTTTAAGGCAAGTGATGTTTTATAAAGAAAAGAGTTATTTATTTCAAAATTAGTTTCAGTTCTTCTTAATTAATCCGCTTAGTTTCATAAATATCCGAATATTAAACCAGAAAAGATAATGCTCGAATGTGATTGGTTGAATTATTCGTTGATAAAACATGATTTGAGCATCTCGATCTAATAGTAACTGAGGTAAATTATTAGTATATGGTATAAACTGAAATTAAAGATGTTTTAGATTGGTTGAAAGATTCAAAATTGGGTAGGAACTCCATTCTGCTTTAGTTACCAGCGGCCTTTTGCGCTAGACCCATCGGATAGAGACTTGTTCCTTTGATTTGTAGTTTTTTTTTCAAATGCTGTCAAGTCAAGTTTTTATGACCATTAGGCAGTGCCTCTTGTGGTCATTTCAAATGTTTTTTTTTGTTTTGGGAGATTTGCCATAAGTCAACCTGCTTTTTTGAGATTAGTCTAAAAACGTGAGGTCAGGATTATCAAAACGATTGTTTGGTTAAATAATATGATATTTTTTATTTACAAAAATTGAAGAGCATAGAATTCTTAAGAAAATTTTTTCATTATCTCAGCTTGTTTTTTCTATATTTTGATACTTCAGCCTAATTTACTAATTTAGCTGAGAACATGGCTAACGCGGTGCGAAACCGTTTTTATTTCAGTGCATTTTTTGGATTTTGTTGTGGTAATCTAATTGAGTCTAATTGAGCTTAAGTTATTTTTCAAGTTCTGCTTTAACCTGGACTGCTGAACAAAAAATGGCAATACAACCATATGAATAGAATTCGATTGATTTTATGAGTAGCTGGTCGTATTTTATTTTCAGATATCTCTTGTTTTATCGCAGTCTTTCCATGCACAAAGCAACTCAGTTCTTAACAGGAGCAAGCTCTTTTGCTAGCAGTATAAATCGTTTTGACAACAGACTTGTGTTTGGTAGAATCATATCGTGTAGTTCAAAACTTTCATTCTATATTAGTTCAACTCTGTGTGTATCGTCTGTACTTTGTTCTTCTGATCAGAAAACTTCAACAAAAACAGTTCATTACTCTTCGAAAACTGTAAACTTTTCTTCTATCTACTCGCCCTTGAGAACCATGACTATCAGTAACGGCAATCATACCAAATGGACGCCAATTCTTACCGAAAATTCGATGAACCCTCACGTTAAAAATGTACAGTATGCTGTGCGTGGGCCGATTGTTCAAAAGGCAACCAATTACCAGGAGCTGATTGCTCAAGGAAAAGGGAATGAACTTCCTTTCAACGAAGTCATCAAAGCCAACATTGGAGATTGCCAAGCTATGTTGCAAAAGCCAATATCCTTTTTACGCCAAGTTCTCTCAGCATGTATGTATCCAGAACTCATCGGCCGTCATCCTGCTGTTTTCCCCAAAGATGTGGAAAAGCGGGCCAATGAAGTCCTAGACGGGCTTCCGGGACGAAGTTTGGGTTCGTACAGTGAAAGTACAGGTCACTTATACTGCCGAAAAATAGTGAAAGAGTTCATTGAGAAAAGAGATGGTTATCCTTCAGACGTTAATAACATAATACTCTCTAACGGAGCGAGTGAGATTATCAAACTGACCTTGCTGACGGCAACTTTTGGAGAAGGGAAAGATACTACAGGTGTGATGATCCCGATTCCCCAGTACCCACTATACTCTGCGACTATCTCAGAAATTGGTGCCGTGAAAGTTGACTACTATCTGGACGAAGATAACAAATGGTCTCTGAGTATAGAAGAATTGGAGAAATCGTACAAAAAGTCATTCGAAACTTGTACTCCGCGAGTGTTGTGTGTGATCAACCCTGGAAATCCGACCGGTCAAGTGTTGAATCGGAAAAACATAGATGAAATTATTGAATTTGCGGCAACTCATAAGTTGGTTTTAATGGCGGACGAAGTATACCAAGACAACGTCTACGATCCTGAATCTGAGTTCTGTTCGTTTAAAAAAGCGCTGATGGAATCGGAACATAAAGACTCTCTGGAACTGGTTTCGTTTCACTCAATGTCTAAAGGCTTCATGGGTGAATGCGGGATTCGAGGGGGATATGGCGAGTTTGTGAATTTTGATGAAAACGTGATGACCGAGTTGAAGAAATTGAAGTCTGCACAGCTTTGCTCAGCATCGTCAGGTCAAGTAGCTCTGGCTATTGTTCTCAATCCGCCAAAACCAGGTGAGGAATCGCACGTTTTGTTTGTGAAAGAACGAGACGCAATTCTAGGAACCCTGAAAAGCAAGTCAGTAAAAGTGCATGACTTGTTTTCAAGAATGCCAGGCATGAAAGTTAACCCGATAATGGGGGCAATGTATTGCTTCCCAAGAATTGAACTACCTCAGAAAGCGGTTGATGCAGCCAAAAAATTGGGAGTTGCGCCGGATGCCTTTTACGTAGAGAAACTTCTGGACCAAACTGGAATTTGTGTTGTGGCTGGATCTGGTTTTGGGCAACTACCCGGAACCTATCACTTCAGGACAACTATTTTACCACCAGAGGACAAAATAGAATCTATGTTGACCAAATTTGAAGAGTTCCACCGCGGATTTTTGGAGGAATTCAAATAAATTGGCAAAAAAAAAACAGATCTCAGATTATGGCAACTGATGTTTTTGTTTTAACCAATAGTATATCAAGAACTCATTGGCTTGTTTTTATTTGCGTAGTGTTTTTGAGAACACCCGGAGAGCTGCCAAAGTGCCAGTGACTTCAGTTGAATGCTTCAAGTTGTACGAGTGCTGAGAATTTGGGTAATCTTGATTAATTTGAATTTATGTATCTAGATTATTGTTTACGAAGTCTTTTTTACTTGAGGCCAAGTAACATATATTTAGCACGCGCTGCTCTGTAATTTAACTTACCTTGTATGTTCTTGTCTTTGTGGGCTTTTAGTTTTATCGAGAAAAACTAGCTCCCACTTAACCATTTTATAACAGGGAGAACTTAAGGTATCTTGGGAGTGGACAACGTTTTTCTCACGTAGTGGCAAGCTACCCAGTGCTCCGGTGTTTTTTTCACATTAAATCAAAAAGAAGATAATTTGGTGAAATTTGCACTTGTGCAGCGTAGCGTGATTTGACTAGGATACTTTTTTTGTTCAAAACTCAGTCGCAATTCTGAGTGCTACTTTTGTGGCACCTTGAAAGTCGGCTGCCGAATTGCTATATTAGGGCTTCGGACATTTTCAAGGCTGAATGGTTTATGATTTTTTTTGCTTCAGTGTATATTACATCGAGTACGTTTTCCGGACTTCGTTTCCGGCAGCCCCATATCTATTACTTGATTCAATTAGGTTTTACTGAGCTCGAAATAAATGAAATTTGCATGTCTCTAAATCTTAACAAAAGTAATGGACCAGACGATTTACCCCTATTTTGTTTATTGAAACTCATGCATCTCTTGCATTCTATCCTTCAAATCTTTCTGAAAATGAATCAGACAAGTTATTTTTCAGACTACTGGAAATCTGCCATTATCAGTCCGCTTTGCAAAAAAACGATAAAGTCAATGTTGAAAATTGCAAAACTTCTCTGCGTACTCTCTAAATTTTTCGAAGAATAATATTCTGGAGATAATACGATCATTTATCTCCAATGTTTCAAAATTCTCAATACACAATTTTTTGCAGATTGCATGCGAATTACATTAAACACGGTTCATGTTCATTCCTTTCACAGACTTCAGCTAAATGTTCGATTACAGAGTTCTCTTTTTTTCAAATATGGAGTCGGAAAAAATCTGATTCAATTATTGCAACTTTATTTCTCATCCGAATTTCAATCGATTCGAATTTGTAGCGCTAAATCAAAACACACCTGTAACAAGTGAAGTTCCGGAAAGTAGCATCCTTGGGGCACACTGAGTTTTGAATTACGATTAACTTTCGCTTTGCGTCGTCTGCAAAGAGTAATGGCGTGCTATTTCGACAAAGTTTATTTAGTATTTCCAGAGAGATCTTTAAACTGAACTCAATATGGTATACTTGTGGACATTTAATGTTGACATAGGTGCTCGTAAGAGCATTTCACATATCTCAAGAAATCTGTTTATTTTTTTTTCGAAATCAAAGCAGTGGATACCCAAAAAAAACCTAGGAGCTGTAGGAGTAGAATTTCGTTGTTTATCAGGCAAGACTTAAATTGAACAGATCGATTTTCATGATTAAAATAATTTTTCGAATGTAATTACAAAAGCAGAGTTGTTAAACTTGACAAATCATTCATAATTCTTGTTCTTGACGAGATTCAATGTTTTAACTTATTCAAGTATGTGATATCATCAAACTTAGAGACAATTCCGCGAAGTGAAATAGATCTGCGGTAGCAATACTTCATACAACGAGAAGTTGAGGAGTCTAGGTGTTGATTCTTCCTGTACCGACGTGTGTTCAATCGAACAAGATATTGCTTCCGAATTTTTTGTTGGGACGATATGATATAAGTAAACTTGATGTACCTTCATATACAGTGGGGTCCGACGAAAAGAAAATTTGAGCAGAGTTTCATGTACCAAACCTGTTGTCTTGCCAATATGTTAAAAGTGGAAACGACTTAAGAGAATGAAATCTTCTGAAACGACGCCTTTTACGAATATTCTTGATTAAGTTCGAGATCTGCTACGAGTGGAATAACTGCACCTGGAAGTTGGCATGTGATTGTACAGCAAAAATTTGCAATGCAAAACTGTTATCTGAAACGAGAAACTAATCAGGGCTTGGATACATTGTGTGAAACACAGAAATTTATTACTTCTACTGCTGCTACTAATAAGTTAATACAGTTGAAGATTTTTAATTTCGTTAAATGAACAGAATAAAGCTTTTGATTTCATACAACAGTACAATAAGGAAAACTCCTTTTCAGAAACTTTTCAGAAACTCAGTGTGTTCCGCATTTTTCGCAACTCATAATTTATACTTAATTTGGCTGTATACTTTTCAATTTATTACATGCAAAGTTAGTGTGGTTGCCAATAGTTACTTACATTCCAATTTATTACGTTCAAAATTTGTGTTTTTGTTCAGTTCGGAGCTCTCCTTGCTGCTTTCTACAAGCTTAAATTGAACAAGACTGCTCGTATCAGGGCGAAGCCCTGAATGTTCCGACTGCCTTTTAAGGTTTTTGGAGCAGCAGTAAAAACATAAAAAAAGTTAAATGAAATATAAAAAAATGAATTTTTTTTTTCTAAAATTTGAAATTTTTTATGAAAATCATCCCCCCACACGCCATATAAAGTACAACAAGACTACTTGTAACAGGGCGAAGCCCTGAATGTTCCGACTGCTTTTTAAGGTTTATGGAGCAGCAGTTATAACATAAAAAAATTAAATGAAATAAAATAAAATGAAAATTTTTTTTTTTAAATTTGAAATTTTTTTATGAAAATCATCCCCCCACACGCCATTTAAAGTACAAAAAGATTGATTTCGTTCCTTGTAACAAATCAATAATGGCAAATAAGCTTCGTTCAACCAATTTGGAACGATTTATAAGAAGGATTAAATCTCCGCTATCGCGTTAATAGCGCGAATTATATCGCGCGTTAATTGTCCCAAATTGGTCAAAATGGCAATCTTTAAACCCTCATAACTTTACGAAAAATGATCACAGGTGAAATATCTTTTCAAATTTAAGCTCAAGACAACAATACCTTTTGAATGATATAAAAAAATTCTATCAAAAATTGCCAGTTAAAAAGTCGAAATTTTTCTGAAGAAAAAAAAAACCCACCCCGAGCACAAATATTCCGTTACTTTCGTATCAAAAGTCGGAACAAAAAGAGAAATTTCGTTCCTTGTAACAAATCAGTGATGACAAATGAGCTTCGTTCAACCAATTTGGAACGATTTATAAGACGGATTAAATCTCCGCTTACGCGTTAATAGCGCGAATTATATCGCGCGTTAATTGTCCCAAATTGGTCAAAATGGCCATCTTTATTAAACCCTCATAACTTTACGAAAAATGATCGCAGGTGAAATATATTTTCAAATTTAAGCTCAGGACAACAATACCTTTTGAGTGATATAAAAAAATTCCGTCAAAAATTGCTAGTTAAAAAGTCGAATTTTGTCTGAAGAAAAAAAAACCCACCCCGAGCACAAATATTCCGTTACTTTCGTATCGAATGTCGGAACAATAATTGTATAGGGCAGTCAACTGGAAAATTTGATTGTCCGAGGACTGAGGTTCAATTCTGTAGAAAATATTTAGTTTCCAAGACTAATTTTGTTTTTGTTCCGACTTTCGATACGAAAGTAACGGAATATTTTTGCTCGGGGTGGGTTTTTTTTTCTTCAGACAAATTTCAACTTATTTACTAACCATTTTTGACGAAATTTTTTTATATCGTTCGAAAGCTATTGTTGTCTTAAGCTCAAATTTGAAAAGATATTCCACCTGTGATCATTTTTAGTAAAGTTATGGGGGTTTAAAGATTGCAATTTCGGCCAGTTTGGGACAATTAACGCGCAATATAGTTCGCGCTATTAACGCGCAAGCGGAGAGTTAATCCGTCTTAAAATCGTTCCAAATTGGTTGAAAGAAGCTTAATGCCATAATTGATTTGTTTCAAGGAGCGAAATCTATCCTTTTGTACTTTATATGGCGTGTGGGGAGATGATTTTCATTTAAAAAAATTTCAAATTTTAGAAAAAAATTTTATTTTGTTTTCATTTATTTTTTTAATGTTATTACTGCTCCATAAAACCTTAGAAGGCAGTTGGAACATTCAGGGCTTCGCCCTGATACGAGCAGTCTTGTTTCTTTTTGCAACCTTTGTAAAAGCTACTTTTTGGCGTTTTTCGCTGGTGTTTACAGAGTGCAGCTTAGCCTCTGTGTTCATTTTTGAGTCAATTCAATGAAGATTTGAACTGTATCAAACAGTCCGAATAAGTTTTGCCGAATTGAGTGAGCGGTCTGGATATATTTTTTGTTCGTCAATGAAAAAGACTAACATGGTTAGCTGGGCTGATGCTATTTCGTTTTTGAAGCTTCTTTTTGAGTCGCCTCAACCAATTAAAAAGTTTGAAAAATTCGGGAAGAAATGAAAAGAAAAAGAGACTGTGGCGTTTTTAAAAAGGTGTCTAGAAAATTTTTCTTTTTTAGATTTGGAACTTTTCAGATTTAATCTAGCGGTTATCAGATTTATCATCTTTTTTTTTGTAATAAAATCAGATCTGATTTTCTGTGAATTTTAATATTGTTTGTTTTTACTGGATCTGACTAGGCTGATTTGATAGTTTTTTTTCTGACTAGGAGTTTTTTATTATTTTTCTTGTTTTAATTTAGCAAGTGGCTATCTTTGTGCTTACAGTTTTTTTATTATTCTGATTTTGTTGCCAAGATAGCTATGGCTGGAACTCTTTTAACTACGTGTAGAGCAGCCAGCTGTAGTCTAGAATTACAATTTGTTTGTACAGCAACAAGCTGTAATCTAGAATTACAGGTTGCTACATGTACAGACATCAACAAGCTGTAGTCTAGAATTACAATTAATTTATGCAAATAAGCGTTGTTATAACATGAGTTCACTTTTTACAATATAACTGGCAAATATTGGTGCTTAGCAAAAGTTTTTAATTTCAATACCGGTGTAGGGCGCGTGTTTTTTCTCTAAAATGCGTGTGTCATGCTTTGTTCTCATGTGTTTTGTGCGATTTTTGGTTGCTTTGCTGTTGTTTGAAAGGCAGGAGAGAATATGACGCAATTGCCAAGACGTTAGAAGCTACGTCTCTAGGTCTTAGATTCGTATTCCGTAGGTGGTATTTTATTTTTAAATTCATGAAAGTTGTGAATACTCTTATATAGATCTTGGTGATTTTTTGGTTGTTTGTTTTTCAGGAAAAAGATTTCACGCTCAAATTTGATTTTGCATGGTTTGACTTTGAACTTCATTATTTTTGTTGTAATAAAGGCAAATTCAACTATCGAACGGCAAAATTACAAAAGTCACGAAAAACGTGACCGAATTCTAGTTTCGAAAATGGATTTTCGCTTTCCCAGCGGAATAAAAAAATGTAACTATTAATCCAGTTTTCTCAAATTTGGTTAATTTTATTGAAAAAAGGTCAATCATACGTTCTCGATTTTCAACAAGCTTTAGGGACTTTTTTCTCTGAAATTTTTAGGTTGATTTTTTTTCTAGTTTCTTGCATTCACGACTCTTTTCAAACTGTCTGTTGTCAACTTCTTAAACCCATTTTTTAAACCTGTTTTTTGCTACCGAAAAGATATTGTCTGCTTTTGTTTGCAAATTTCAGCGCCCCCTCTGTGTTGCAGCTTATTCTTCTAGTGGAAGAATATTTTTTGTAGCAATCTAAACATGCAAGATTTGTTCCCGGCACCAAAAATGGAAGGATATTTGTAGTCGGATTTTTTTTACAATAAATCTGTGAAAAAAAATCAGCGTCAGGATGATTGAGGTGTCTCGATGGGTGATTGAGGTGTCTAGCTGAAACTTTTTTGATCTGCAATCTCGTGGTTGTGAATAGTTTTTAAAGGCTTTCAGTAAAACTTTGATATATATTTTTTGAAATTATTGTAGTTTGGAAAATTTATGTATCCCTACTGTTCCCTATAGTGATTTTTGCTGCTACCAACATCAAGTTTATGTATGAAAGTATGTTTTCGTCTTTTGAGCGAAGATACGTTTTCGTCTTTTGAAAGCTTTTTTATATTATAGCACGCTTTAAGCAAATAATTAGAATGCTTATTTTCTTTCAGGACTTCTGAAAGTTTGATTATGACTAATTCGGGTCGTCTATTTTTTTTCAGCGCGAGTAGTTATCAATTTTTGACCAAGTTTTTCATGACACTGTTATCTAGCTATACATTATGGCGTTTCACTTGATACCTGTTGATTTTTAAAATTCACGTTTTACTTGACACATTCAAAATTCCATTATATTGCAATGTCTAAATTGTTTACTGAAGTCAGTGTTTTAAAACTTTATACGAATGATGAATTACATTTTTCTGTTCAACCGAACAATTGAATACCAATTTTCAAGGTCATATTCGGGTTTGAACCTACAGAGGTTGGACTGCGAACACCTTACCCTGCAGGTTTTTTGCCAGCAAACACATTCGGTACCGCATTCGGTAGTATTCGCAATTTAATAACATTGAGGCTTTCGGTGTGCAAGCGACCGTTGTGCAGATTCGAAAATGCGAGAATTCGAATTTACAGGCCGGTGGATCGATTCCAGGACATGGTAAACTTCTGTTCCATGGCTTGTTTTAAACTTTACAAGGCTTTATTGGTGGCTAGTGTATGCCTATTCCCAAGCGATCGTGGATCAGATGAGACCCCTAATCTACTGGTTGGCGTTTTGATGCCAGCAACTTGCAAAAACTTTTGCAGCTTCTTTTTTTCAGTTTTCTCACTTCTTTTTACAAAGTGCAGCTTCGCCACTGTGTTAATTTTAAAAAAAAACAATTCTCTGGAGCAGGGGTTGGTTGCGGCTTCTTTCAGTATTTTTCTCGGCGTCGTAAATCTGTGTTCGAAATAAGAACGCTCTTATCCTATTTTCTGAGGTATGACGTTTTTTATAAACCTTTCTTAAATTTTCTATAATTTTTTTAAACCAAATTACTTTAATTAATGTATAGGTGTAATGTTAGGGTATCCTCAGGGTCGCAAATATGCAATTCAACGATGACTGGACTGCTCAAATTGTATTTAGTTTTCGAGATTTGATTTTAATGTTTTTTGTTTGCTCTGCTCTCAGTGTTTGCCAAATATGAGTCTGAATTCATAAAAGTCTGATTCATTTTTATTAATTATTACGCTGGATTAAGAGATTGATGGCAGCAAGTAATATACCTACGATCTGATGAAATATTCTGATTTTGTTCACCTAGAATCTCAAGAAGTAATTGGAGAATGAAATGCTGATCCAAAAGAATTAGATATTTCAGATCTTTTTTACCCTTGCGTACCTGACTTTTTTCCCGTAAACAACTTGGTCCACAAGATGATGTTCAATTTCGAGATCATTTCTGCTGTTTGCACTCTGAACTGCAGCAGTCGTCTCGCTTTTGAAAACTGAGACAGACATTTTTCGAGCATGTAGCATTTTCAATATCCGCCCTGTTCGAAATTAGCTTTTATTTGGTTGTAATTTTACCAAAGTTTTCATTCTTTAAATTTTGTTCTCCTGTGTTTTCTCGGTTAGGTACATTTGGGCCGAAATTATTTCGGCTTATTGGCTTCATATTGCGTCCTTTAATAAGCAAAAAATTTTAATACGTTTTTGTAATGAAAGGGATGGGACCTAAAAATTTTTATCAGTTTTTAAGTCTTTTTTTCTTTTTTAAATTTTTTTTTGTTTCTTCGTTTTTTTGCCTTTTTTTCTTCTCGGTTTTATAAGTTTCGGCCTGTTTTATCGGCTTATTGGCCGCATCTTTTGTCTTTTAATGAGCGAGAAAACTTGTGTGCGTGTGTGTATTGAAGGGGATGAGGCTTTAACAACTTTTATTAGTGTAAGTCTTTTTTAAATTTCTTTTTTTTCTCGAGTTGGTAGATTTCGGCCTATTTTATATCGGCTTAGTGGCCTCATACTTCGACGTTTGATGAGCGAAAAGAGTTTTTAAGTGCTTGTTTGTATTGAGAGAAATTGGGGCTAACAACTTATTAGTCTTTAAGTTTTAAGAATTTTTTCAGCTTAAAGGATTTCTTCTATTCGGCTTGTTACGGCTTGGTAAGTTTTCTTTTGATTCTAATTTTATCTTCTATTGTCTTGGTGTGAGTTTTTGATTCTTTTTCATTCGTTTTGATCGATTTCGGCTCGTCAGATTTTTCTTTTCGATTTCTTTTTTCGGTTTTGAGACTGTTTTATTTGGTTTCTCAAGTGTTGCGAAGCTCTGTTTCGCCTATGTGTTTAAATATATAGTTTTTTGTTGTCCGAATTCAAGGACCTTTTTCTGAGCTAAAAAAAGATCGTAAAATTAGTAGTTATGCGTATTTGACCATCTTACCTATAAAAAATTTCAGGCTGAATGTATTTCATATCTTTGAATTTATGAAGTGGAAAACGCTGTTGGATGACCCATATATTTTTAACGGTTGCACCTAATTTCGTTTAATGATTGCATTGTTTTGAAAATATATTTAGGAAGCACTTTAATTGATCTAAATGTGCTTCAAAAAATTGGCACAGTTTTCGCCTACTACAGATTTTGTCCTATTTATTTAGTTAACAGATTTCTCCTACATAGATTTGGTCCCATATCCAACTTTCTATCATCCCATATCTAAATTTTGTGGGACGAAATCTGTGTACGCTTTGAAATGGTACGAAATGTGTTGAAATTAAAATGGGACGAGATCTGTCATGGAACGAATTTGTCACAGCCCTTTAAAAACTGTAGTTGCCAGTCTCAAGCTACCTTCATAATATTTTTGTCACCGTCATATTTCGGTTTTTAGTATTTTGTTGACATGGCTTTCAATCAACTTACACGCCTGACTTCTGTTCAGTTTGACTATACGGGATAAATTGAAGATTCGAAAAGAAAAGGTAGAGTCACTAATAATTTAAATAATAGGTTAAAGTTTTGAAAAACAACAGAATATAAAACGAAACAAGGATAGCTAATTGATGTGCAAGTAGCTCAGAATGTTTAGACCATATTCCTAAAAATACATATAACGTTTTTTTTCTTCAAATCATTTTCTTTTTTATAAGGTGGTTTGATAAAATGATCTGACGAAAGCCTAGAACTGAGGCATATTCGACCGTCACAGTAATGTGGAGCATTAGTTTTGTCGACCAATGATCAGAAAACCAAAAAAAAAATGTTTTTTTTTCATTTGACAAGTTTTTTCATTCAGAAGTCGGCGGTGAGAAAGTTTTGATAAAATATTAGCTGGAGAGTATTTAAGTTTTCATGGCTTGTCCTTCTATAAAAAGTCTGCTCGCTTGTTTTGCTCGGTTGAAATTGAACTAAAAGTCAAAAAGTTTTAAACCGGCTTTTCTCGACACTTGAGGCAGCTTTTCAAAAAAAAAAATTTCGTTCGAATCTGGGCTGAAAGGGCTTTAATATAATATATCATTACACCTATTCCGATGATTATTTGTAGTATTTGCTTTTGGTTGAAAAACAAAATATGCGTGCTCGCTCACTTTATATTCGCTTGATAATTAATCAAAAATTTCAAAGGGATTTTCCTCGACTCTTTTTAAAAACTTGTTAAAATGTTCGAATCACGACTGAAAAGACTTTAAATGATTATTTGTGGTACCTGATTTTGCGTGGGAAAAATCCTAAACACCCGAATACAGAATTCCTCTCATTCTATATGGTCGGAATAAGATCTAAAGGAGGTTGCTTTGTACAGAAAATGTCAATGATAAGAGTTTCCGAGAATATAATAATTTCCGATATGATTTAGTTTGCGATAAGAGAAAACTTTATCCCGAGCACACCCCTAGGAGGGTGAAGCTGAACTATGGCTTAGGGTGAGTTTTTCTTTCAGTCAATTTTCATTACCTTAAAAAAATCGCATAGCCAGGGGGTCACAATAAAGTCCCTTTCAGTTATATTTGCGATTATGTTGGTCATATGATAGCGGGTTCAAATCGCACGAATGTTAGCTACAATTGGCAGGTTGAGCTCTTGCAAGTAGCCATAGCTCAGTGGATCTTGAGTAATTAACCTTCGGGATAGGCCTCTGGCTGGAATACTAGAAATATATACTTTGATGTGTCTACTGCAGATATTGGGATGGACATTGAGAGTAAGCAGCGGAAGAACAAGAAGGACCTCAAGCAGAAAACCCTCAAGTCCAATGACCCCTACCTCAACATCCTCATGTGGGCCACCAAGTTCGTGGTCAGTACTCAACACACCATACCTTATCTAACCTCAGCTAAACTAAACCTTCCTCACTCAATTTAAAAGCAGTCATTCTAATGAAATATATATTTTTGAAGCCACATCAAAGAAAAAGAAAGAAATATTTAATTTATCTGATCCGGTTTAAACACTACCTAAATTTAACACAATTACAAAGCAAAAGAAAGCTTAAGTAATAGGCTTGCATTTTTTCTCATTGATTAACTTTTGATTTCGGTTTTCATGGACTTTTTACTGTATCTCTTAGGTTACAGAAAAGAACACAGGCATGATTGCTTCCTTGTGGGCAGGATTTCTGAGGTATAGCAAGCGTTTTCTTTAATTTTTCATTTACTTATAGGTGCAAGAGCTAAGCAGTGTTCCCCCTCCCCTGATGCTGATGAAGAAAGACTTCCTTGCCAACACCAAAGTGAAAATGCAATCTCATGGATACAACAAGTCAGTTTCGACCTTTCTTACTATACAAGGATAAGCCAAGAAACTTTGTTGAAATCCAATAAAGTTATTTTCCTGGTTTTAATAGCGCCATCTTGGGGGAAAACATTTCTTAAGTTTTTTCTTACAATTTTTCGAGAAAACTGTTATCCAATTTGCCTTTTTTCGCGCACAAAAAATTACACTTATTTGAAAAAAATCAGGTAGCTTTTATGAATATGGTCGGAACATTCTGTGTTACTTGCTTAGCAACCAGCTATCCTTATTATCTTTTTATTCTATTTTGACAAATCTTGGCAACAGTTTAGACAGTAAATTCAGAAAAATCGGGTGCAAATAACTTTTTGCTAAATGTTTTATGGCCGCGTTGGCTATTCTACTGCCAATAAAGCATTTGAAGAAACATATCCCTTCCCCAATTAAGTGTCGAAAGCGGAGATAAGAGTTGTCGATAATATGAAAAGCCGCACGGTTAGTGTTTGTCACCTGCCAAAGCTAGTTGAAAACTTTGCTGTTAGAAATTGTCGCTGAATAGCAATTGTGTCCCAACCCTGAAGAAGATCGAGAGTAATGCAGCTCTAGCTTTTTATCAGCATTGAAATTTTGTGCTTGTTGTTTAGAAACCTGCCAAAGACATTCAAGTTTAAACACTACTCGCCAATGGTCTTCAGAAGTCTGCGCGAAACATTCGGAGTCTCAGACGACGATTTTTTGGTCAGATTTTCCGAATTGTTAAACTTAAATTAGCTTAACTTGCGGAAAACTAATAAAAATCTGATGCTGTGCAAATGTTTGCTGAATCTAGCCATTATGTTCCGTCCAAAAAAAGACCACAATAACTTTCTCTTAGATTACTATTAAAGAAGTAGCCTACAACGACCTCAAATATTTGACGGGTTAAATGTCTGAAAATATTGCAAAATTTATAGAAGCATGGTATTTTCTGAAGCTTTCCGATCGATATGAGATAAAATCTTTGTTATTGAGCTTTATATTTCAACTGTGTTCGTGTACTGGATAGTTTTATTTATTTATCTATTTTACGTCATGTTGTGGTTTTAGAGATCTGTTTGTGACGCTGCACCGACCAACTTGTCCCACAGACGGGGTGACCTGAAGTTCTACGTCACTCATGACCACAAGTACATCATCAAGACCATGACGAGTGAGGATGTGGCACAAGTGCATGAGATACTCGAGAGATACTACAGGGTTAGTATGATTGCCGTTCTTAGACGCAGAAAAGGTTAAGATTCATGCTGCAAACTTCCCTGCTCTTTTTATACGATGTTGGTAATCTGAATTGATCTCTTAAGCATTTTCTGACTCAACTGTTAATTAATACGTTCAATTTTACTTTGAGAAATTGTTGGCAATGTCGGTAATTTTAAGTTCTTTAAGGGACTAGAAGCTGGTAATTGTTCAGTTTCTTAAAACAATTGTATTTGACTTTTTGTGGCAGAAACGTTTTTACAAGTAAATTTGACACCAAATAAGAAATAAACCGCTGTTTTTGCTTCGGTCTTTTTTCTCAAAGAATTATTTTAATGAGTGCTTTCGCTTTTAGTTTGTGGTGGAGCGGAAAGGCGATACTCTACTGCCACAGTATCTGGACCTGTTCCGCATCACCATAGACAAGCCCCCAGGGGTGTACATGATCATAGTGAGGAACATCTTTTCCGCCAGACTGCCAATACACCACAAGTTCAACCTCAAAGTAAGTGTAGGCCACTCTGAATACTATTCTGCACTACTTAATCATCCCCCCCCCCTGCAATTTTTAATCATTGTCCCCCCACAACACAAATCAGCTTAATGAATCATAATAATTCCGGTTTTGAAAGGTTTGGAAGCTTTGCCGGTTTGAAAGCTGTTGTTTGGAATTTCTGGTTTGGAAGCTGTGGTGCCGTATATATCGGCCTCATATTGGTGTAAGTTTACTTGCAAAATTTATAAAGTTTCGTCAGGGTCCCTGGATTAAAAGACAGTTTAATCCAGGGAGCTTAACGATATTCGCCCGTAATAGCTTCAGTTATTTTTGTATTTTTGAATCTCAGCTGTATGTGTTTTAAAGTTTAGTTTTTGTTCTAATTGAATGCCTTAGTACTCAATTGTTGGCTTTTCGATTAGTTGACCTTTAAATGAGCCATCAAAAGGATAAAAGCATACCATTGTTGGTTGAAAAGTATAAGCAAACTTTTTATCAGTTCAAATTCTGTTCGTTTTTGGCGAACCAATGAAAAATCATCACTGTCATCAGGTAACATTGTTATTTCAGTGTTTTCTCAATTCTAGGGCGTCGTTTATATAAATAGAAAAAAAATGATTCCAGAACTGAACCCGGGACACATCACATTCAATTGTTTTGAAAACTGACAACTTCTGGTTTATGTTGACACATTATGTTCTGTTTGTTAGATTTGATTTTGATAGCTCATACGTAGTCCCCCCCGTAAACCATAAAGATAAAATTCGTGGTGTAGAATTTCGTCACTTTCTGTATCAAATGCCTTAAATTGATGATTAAATGAGCAACGAGGTTTTTATTCAATCAAGAGCCTCAAGAAGATATTTAATTACGGCAACAAGCCACGATAGTGTTAGTGTTATCCTTAAATCTAAACTTGTATTGAGACAATATATGTAATTTAGTCCAAATTTTCTAAAATCCGAGCGTTTAAAATTGTGTCGGAAACTTTTCCTATTACTGGGTGTAAATAAATTTGCCTATAATTGCTTGGTTCATGCCTAGGACCTGTTTTGTGAAATGAAACTACCGTGTTTTTTAGCATATATGGATTTTTTCAGACAAAGAGCTGTTAAACAGGGTGATCAAATACTCGGTAGTTTTGGGTTCAAGATTTGTATGAAAAAGTTTGTTGTAGAATGAAAGTCCTCTTGAGTTTTTCTGAACATTGTTATGGTCTGAAAAATTTTTTCGACATCAGAAGTTTCCTCGGAGGGTTTTTGTGGTTTGAATTTTTTCGGTAGATTGGTTCAGACTTGTGTAACCTAGCTAATGTTTCTCCAATTTTCAAACAAATGATTTAATTTGTCCACTTTTGGTAGAGTTTTTCTGTCAGTTTTTTTCCTGATTTGATTTCTCTAACCAACTTGAAAAAACTGTAGTTTACCTTTCTTAAGTCGATTACAATTTCAAATTATGAGTAGAAAAACTTATTGAATCCGCATGCTAACGGGGTGTTTTTTTAGGGTTGAACTTCTAACGCTAAAACTTGACCTGACAGAAACTCTTAGTTTAGGAGATATGGACATTTTACGATCTATGAAAAAAATCAAAAACTTCGAAAAAAATCTAATTTAAATATTTTTTAACCGGCGGTTGCCTGCTTACGAAGGTATAATGTAGAATTCTGATTAGAATGACAATACTTGACCGTCCAAATGCTCGTAGCTTAGGAGATATGGATGACTTTACGAATTTTTAACAAATTCCAAAAATATTTAAATTTTTTTTTCTGATAGTGAAAGAATCATGCATAGTTAGGGTAGGCTTTTGTGGGCCATATGGCCCCATTTTCTATCCTCTCCGTGTCTCATCTTAATAATTATTAATATTTATGAATTGCTAAATTTATGTAATGATTGACCGGAGAAATTTTTTCTTTCTTTCTTTCTTTCTTTCTTTCTTTCTTAATTCAATTTTGTTTTCGTAGCACTGTTTTCAAATTTAGGCGCAAATTGTCGAAAAATATCATAATATGACTTTTTAAAGCAGGAGTTCCAGTTCTGGGAAATATTTTTCGCAGTTGGTTTTTCGCTTGATTGTTTGTTTGCTGGTAAAACCTTAAGTTTATATCCATTTGAAGTTCCGACTTTTTAAGTTGGTTAATTGTATCAGCGCTTTATCTCACGGTTCGGGTTTTTTTTCAGCTATTAGCTCTTCAGATTTTAACCAAATTAAATAATGATCAACCATATCTGTTTTAATTGCAAGGCAATTGCAATCATAATTTGCAAAGAGTAAATCGATCATTCTATTTGAGTGTTCTGTTTCTTGAGTCATTGGGACACCAGTTTTAGCTCTAATCCGTGCATGATCATGATTTCCTACTTCGAAAAAGCTGCCAAGAGACTAACAAAAAATTGTCAATGGGATAATTTGGAGTTTCATAGAATCTTCATGACTAAGGACTGAAGAAATTTTTGACACGCTTAAAATTGGAGTTCGGTTATTGTGATTTTAAGAAAATCTGTTTAGTTGAGTCCTGAGCAACTCATCCTCTATTTTTTGTTTTGTTACAGGTTATCATGCTGGCGGTGGTAGGCTGCTATCATGGTGTCATCATTGCACCAAGTTTCCGTTAAAGCTACGATTTCTGGTTCATTATTAAGTTAGACATTAAAGTTGCAGCAAGATAGATATTTTTAATGTAGGCTAAATGTTCCATATGAAAATATTGAGTTTTTAATTCAGAATATTTGAAATTTCAATTGTTTTAAGAAGCAAAATTTTGTTGCTTTTATTAGTGAAAACAGACTTTTTATTTTTTATTCTACATAACTGAAGTGGCTGAAACTAGATTTGAGAGAGTATATAAAACGACAAAGAAACACTGATTATTGAAATTGCGTACCCGTAGGCTTCGTCTAGTGTTAAGCAAATTAAATCTGTCAGCAGTGGACGCCGAAGTTGCAGAAACAATGCTAACTGAAACTGAAATCTTTAGAAAAGGAAAATGTCAATTTTAAAAGAAAGATAAGAAATAAGAATGAAGAAATAAAAACCAAAGAAGTATAATAAGTTATGTGTATTTTCCTGTGCAACAATGCTACAGCTAAGTAGAACGAAACTGCCCGTTGATGATAACCTACATCATATAACCTATTTTGTTGTGGCAAATCAAGGCCAATTTTCGGGAGAAAAAGAGGAACATAGTAGTCACATTTTATCGCTGTCTGAGATGGTCTCATTGTATTGGCGCTTGTTGCCTTCGGTTCACAGAATTTTATAGCTGGCAACGTCATCAGCGTTGTTAACTTTTATGTAATTGATATTCCCATAGTCGCTTTTGCACAGTACTGATACTTCATAGTGTTTCGTAACTGCTATCAAACTTCTTGAATAAACAAGTTTTTTTGTGAAGGCATTCCAAGGATGTTTTCCTGTACTTCCAATTGTTTCTAGCACCAGAGGCCTTGTCCTTATGAGCAAAGTCCTACTATTGACAATCATCGAAATTTATATACTGGTCAAGAGCTTTTGGACTGAGGAAGGTATGAAAAGCTTTCAGATCTACGTCATTAACCTTAAACTGTGGAGCTTTTTTTGAGAAATTCGAAAGTTTGCCAGCAATGTTTTTTTTTTCACGAGCATCAAAAGGAGAGTTATAGATTACAATAAATCCTTACTCGTTTACCCTTCTGGTTCTTTTAATCTTGTTTCTAACGCGGACGAGATATTCCACTACTCTCCGAGTTTCCTCTCTGTTTTCTCCTGATTGCCTCTGATCTCATTGACACGGTCTATCACTGCAGTTTTTGTTTGCTTATCTGGAATTGCCTTTATTGACAATATGAAGATATATAATATAAACAAGGCGAAGCTGATCTTCGCACGACTTGCGACCCAATAATAATAAAAAGAGTGCAGCATGACGTTGAAAAATAAGCAAACAGAATTTCGAACTATGGTACCATTGAAGAAAGAAGTGGAAAAATGAAAAAAAATTTCTGAGGTTTGATTTTAAGTTTTTCAAAGAGGTCCTTGTGGGGTTGAATTTGAACGTTAAGCAAGTTGGTACCAGAGTTTTTTTGGTCTCAAAATACCACCGGACTTTTTAAGGAAACAATCGGTAAATAAGCCGACAGAATTGAAGCTAAATTCATGTAACGCCCACATAAGGTTCACGATAGTTATTTAAATAGCGTATGCAAAGTAGACTACATAGTTTGGAAACTTACCCGACAGAGCTGAAGTCGACAACCATTAAATCGAAAAACTATCAGTAGAAAATTAATATCAAAAAAATAATTATACATAGTTGTTTGAGTTGAGTTATGTATCTTGTACTGTACTCATAGAGAAATTTCAGATAGGGTACACCGTCTGCTCGTCACGCTATCTTATTTTCGGCCGGTGGTTCCAGGGGTCTAGAAATAAGAAACTAGTACCCGGTATTTAAGTTGAGTTTTCATGAAATTGAGCATGTCAGCAACATAGCAGCATCATTATTGTTTCAACTGATTTTGTTAAACTAGTTCTTAACCCGAAATAAAGTCTATATTCCAATTTGACAACGCTTGCCATTCACAAGTGTAGCAATATAACGATACATTTCCATATAACTTGAGAAATTTTTAGAATTTTGACCACTTATACTTATTGTAAATGCCTGTAATACTTTTGTAACACGTTGCATGAAAGTGAAATTTCTTTTTATAGCTACGATCGTAGAACCCAACTACCTCAAAAATATCAACTGCTTTTAACGGGGAGTTGAATTAAAAAATGATGTGTTAGTTATTAATGCAAACAGAGTTTTTTTTGCGTTGAAAATACATCATGCACCTTAAATATTTTCAATACCCGCCAACCAAAACCTTTTTGTCCAAAACTTTCCAACACGCTTGGTATTTTTTGAATCCCCGCGAAATACTCCTCAGCTTAATTTATGTTTCCGAACCCATCATCGATTTTTTTATGAACTCTTTTTTCGATATTTCAATCTTGAATGATGGCAATTTAATTTTTCATAGACAGACAGCCTGACCTTAGACCGGTTTTACAGGAGGCCGGTAGCTGGCTGACTTTTGACCAATTTTACTTTTCTCTTGATTACATCAAATTTTTCTGAAATGTGAGTTGGTAAATTTTCTTTCCGATAACCTTGACACGCGTGAAATTTGTGTTCGCTTTCAATCTGTTCAGTTTGCAGAGCTATCAGGAATTTGTGTGGCTCAAAAGTGTATTCAGATCTAGATAAAGACTGATAGATAAAGTGAATGTGATTGTTTCATTGGAAGTATTTTGAGATTCAAAGTACGCCCAATTCTGACTTACAATAGTGTTTCGTTGTTTCAAGATATATTTATGTCTTCATCATAGTATCCAGAAATCTGTGGCGCGTGATTTGCATGCTTTCCTGATTTCTATGTAATATGTTTTCCCAGCTGGATCTCCTTGCACTTTGGCTCAAAGTTTGGAAAACGTTATGCAGAGTATTCTGAGTGTTGGCCTCGTTTTTAAAAATATATATTTTTTCTTATCGCCAGTTTTAAAGACAGCTTTTTCGCTTAAATATTTGTTTTCACCCCTTTTCGATTTTTTTTGAATTTTCTATTAGAGTTTTTCCGTTGTCTATATTCGTTATTTTTTTCAAAAATCGGAATAAATTACGTCAATTTATATAATGGTTTCCGCCTCACACGAAATTTCATATTGCTTTTCCGCCCTCTATACTGTTTTAAGTTCTTGATCACCGCTTTACTTGCTCTGTGCGATGGGCGCTCTTATCACCGCTTTCGCGGGTCAGTACTGTGAACCTTAAGAGTTACAGAAAAGAGCCCCACCTTTAAGTTGTAGTTGAACGGTTTTTCTGCTTTTCGAAGTGTACTTGCACAGAATTTATTTCGGAAGTCTTTTTCCGAGATCGCATAACTTTTTAAGCATGTTGATCCATTCTGATAGTAATTGGTTTTATGTGTATAATGCATGGATTGCATGGAAAGCACTACATACGTGCTTAGAAATGGTTCTTAAAAACTGTCGAAGACCTTAATGTTTTGAAACAGGCCGAAAAAGTTGTATTTCAGCTGAAAAAATCAAACATGGGTAAACTAACTGCAAATTTGAGTGTGTAAACTTGTATTGAAGTTATCTGTTGATCGATCAGGCATTTAGAAAATTGGGACTCGATTAGATAAAATTACCAAGCCTCGAATCATCAAAACTTCGTTATATAGGAATTAGTTATTATCTTAACGAGTAACTATTTAAGTTCTCATTTGTCAAGCAATAAAGAGTCGATTTGTAGCCCAATCAATTAGCAAAATTAATGTTTGCTTTAGGGTTCCGAGAAGAATCGCAAGATGTCGGAAAAAGATGCTGCCAAGGTCAAGAGTGGCTCTATTGCCGACGCCACTGGAGCCGCAGCATCTGTATCCCCAGCAGCTGCTGCAGCTTCCGCAGGACTGGACCCCTTAGATACTACTGACCCACTCCTCCACCCCTCGACATCCTCTTCGTTCCGAGACATGGATTTTATTCGGCAGAAGGAACATCTGTTCATAGGAGAGGAGTCCAAAACGAAGTTCATGAATAAACTTACCTCAGACATTCAGGTTTACATTACATTGATTTACATCAACGAAAGAAACGCCTTTATATGGGAAAAGCCACCCTGGTTTTTGCAAAAGTCCTTCATTGAGATATGTGTTTGCATTTGAATCCCTCAAGTTTTAGGCAACCAATTGCATAAAATCGTGCGGGGATTGAAAGCGGTCTAAAGATGTTTCTTAGTAAGAGGTTATCAAAGAAGAAATCGCCAATGTCTGAATCAGAAGAGGAATAAAATAACATTTTCACTGGAATTTGCTCTCCGCTACATTGACTGTTGCACTTGGATTTGCTTGTACTAATTTTGTGTCTAATTCAGTTCCTGAAGGACTGCAACTTGATGGACTACAGTCTTCTGCTGGGCATCCACAACTGCCAGTCAGCCAAGCAGGGGGATCTGGGAATAGACCAGCACGCTCTTACAGTTAGTGTCAATCTTTTTGTAAATTTACCCCAGTTGGCTGATAGAGACAGCCGCCACTAGACGGGGACTGAATTATATTTGAACAAGACTCGATGTATTGAGGATAATCATATCGATATATTGAGTATAATTGAACCGCGTATTTTCTTAGAGACGAATATATGTATTATTATAATGCACTCAGTCACTCACAAAATCTAAAATTCGAAATCACAATGCTAACGGAAGGATTTTTTTTTCTATGAACACACGTCTCGTAATTGGAATATCAATAAAATTCTGAAGATGGGGCGAATAATCTCCCGATATTGGCGGCAAACAGAGATAAACTCGTGAATTGCAGAACGAGCCGTGATTTGTCTGTGTACAATCCCTCTTAAATATTTTCATTTAAAAACACGAGAAGCAAGAAGTCAGTTGTTGATAAACGATTCCCCCTTGATTTTGGGTTTGGTTGTTTTTCAGATGGTAAAGTACCATTCTTCCTTCTCTTTATAGTTTATATTTAGCTATCTTGTTCATCTGCAATCATATTCATTGTTTAAAAAACAAAATGAATTCCTTGAAGTCAACTTGGAATCTTCCCAAAACCCAATTTTGTGTCGTCTGCTATAAACTCATTTTTTTAAAATATTCAATGCTGTCTATCGAAAGAAAGCAAATCAAATTGGTCTATGAACAAAATTTCAACACCATTTGTTTCTACATGAAAGGCTTTGTTGTCAATTGTCGGTCTCCGCGCTCGCGATGAAGTGTGCAAATATAAAAATTCAACCAAGTTTTGGCTATAGGACGACACCTTTCTTCCGGATGACATGGCGTCATCTCAGCCGCACGGAGGATCCCCAACAAATGAACAGTTCGAACTGGAGAGCTCGTTCAACCGATCTGGCGGTTTGGATCGGGAGCCACTGCAAGCCGGGGACCCTCCCGTAGCTCACACCCAGCAGCTTCTCTCTACTTCTCCATCAGCTGGTAAATAACTGCTAAGATTTTTTTTCTGTATTTTTAACACGTTTTACCATTCTCACCAAAAAAACAGGAACTGAAACAGGGGGCTTTTTTGGCCTTTTTTTCAAAAACTTGCCGGCTGCGTTGAAAATTTGGCCACAACAGGGTCATCAGGAGAGCTCAGAAATTTAGTTTGGTCGACCTAAAAAAACTTTTAAAAAAAAGTAGACAAAACTTGGAGTTTTTTGAAAATCCGCCCCCCCCCCCTCGAGAAAACCCTAGATCCGCCCCTGAACTGAAGCATGAAAATTGGCCATACATTTCGTCATTATTTAGTGTATGCAAGCAATGAAGTTCGCGTACGTCTTTGGGTAGTTTTTCAGTGATGATTTTAAAGATTTTCCGCCGTTTTTTTATTTGACGATTTATTTGATGCTGATAAATCTAACGAAAGGCCTTACAATTTAAAATGTAAGTCCTTACAAGTTTTCACTTGGAGCTCTAATTTTGCTCTCGAATCCTAAGCATTTAAGTGCTGCTACATTATTTAATTGCGTTTAGTTTTCAGAGTAGGTTGAAAATTAAGTGAGTTTGATCAGGGAACCCGGATCTGCTGCCGACTCTATCGGGGGGCGAGGAGACGAATGACGAGGTGGAGGGAGTGTGTATAGATGGGGAGATGCTAGCAGGTGCTGTTAAGGAGTGCTCCATCACAGGTAGCATCCCCAGTTTGGGAGAACTGGACATGAAGGAAGACGTCTATGCCATTCTGTCTAATGGAAGTTAGTTTAATTTCAATACTTGATTTTAAATGTATTGTTCACATTTGTTCGGTTTGATTATTTATCGTGGTTGTATTTATTTGGCGTTGTTTCTTTATTAATTTTTGCCGCGGTTTCTATACCTTTTTTCACGTTATAATTCTATCGAGTTAATAAATTCAACCAATTCTATTTAGCATTCCGCTCCTTCTCTCAGATCTGGTGGCCAAGTTTTTTGAAAAGTGTTCTTCAGGTAACTTCCCAAATGGCATAATTCCCAAATGGCATAAAGATGGAAACTTTTCCCAAATGGCATAAATTTCAAGTTTTCATTGTAATTTAAACATTTTCTATCAATTTCTAATTCTAACATTTTGTCAGGAACGAAAGCATGTGAACAAGATTTGGAATTAATTGCTTCCAAACAAATTTACGCAACAAATTGTCAAAAAAGTTGACCACAAGAAGCTTATTAATAACCGCAAGCTTACGCTTCTTGCTTTTGATGAAAAAAATTCTACAATTTTTTTAAGATAAAATGTCAATCAACATTTGGATTGACAATTTGACTTTTTTTCCCACATTTTTCACGAAAAAATTGATCTCGATTTTTTCAATGCAACAGTTGCATGTAATTTATGCCATTTGGGAAATTTTTCATTTTTATGCCATTTGGGAATTATGCCATTTGAGACGTAATCGTTCTTCAGTTTTGTTTTATATCTGGACCCCCAATAATACTTTTTTGGCTTTCAACCAGAAAGTTTTGCTTTCAAGCTTCCAAAACGCTGAGGAGCGGCGAAGTATGGTAACTTTAGGGTTTTGAATCAAAACAAATGAAATGACTCACCTAAAAAAAGAGTTTTGTGCAAAAGAAACTAATACCAATCAATAAATTCATGTGCAGGTCGCTGCGTATATTTAGGAGTATTTGTAAGCTTGAAAGCAAAACTTTCTGGTTGAAAGCCAAAAAATTTTTTATTTTAATAATACAAAAAAAGTATCACAAATACTCTAAACATAGGAGTATTTGTGTATTTATTTTCTGTTCCGAATAATTTTGTATTTTCAGACAAAGAAAACAGGGAGATCTACTACATTGGACTGATAGACTGTCTGACCCACTGGGGTACGAGGAGGAAGATGGCATCAACAGCCAAGACAGTAGCCAAGCCCACCAGACAGACCACAACAGCCAACCCAGACGACTACGGAGAACGACTAGTGCACTTTATGGACACAGTCATACACTAGCACAAGCCATAGTTTGGTGCCATAAATTAATATTACTACACTTCACGGAAAGCACTTTACACGGTATAAACAGCGAAAGCAATGGGAAGTGCATCAAAATGGTGGCCATACATCTAACGAGGACATAGTTTGTGCTCCTTACTCTAGGAAACGGTCATATACAATTATAACACATCATATGCTCGAGAAAAGACAGCAGATCATACGTGTTACAGATGTACATAATTAATTATTGCAGTTAATTTTTGATGAAACTAGAGAAGGAAGCAGACAACAGTCAAATAAGAACTCATCGTTGAATGTCATAAATTGTACGATGTCTGTCAATATCAAACTGAGCACGCTGACAATAATCATACTGTATAAAGTTTTGTCTTGTTTGGCATCATTCTAGTAATTTAATATTTGTTAGAGAAAAATCGAATCCTGTTGAGGGGCGGAATTTCAAAAAATTTTTGGAAAATTCGGTAAACCAAATTGATATTCCCAACATAAATTGATGTGGCAATATCGTATTTCAAGGTGTTCAGATAGTCGAACCCCGAGATCCTCTTTGTAAATCCACCCCTGATACACTGTGCCATAGTTGGCAAGTGAGAATCTGTATTTACAATGTTATCTTCCGAAACTTGCAGTTTTACACCTCTTGTAGCGCTCAAAACATCATCTAGAGTGACGCTTGATTATCTTTGAATGTTTCAAAAAGCTGTTCAAATTACCTTTTTAAGACTTTTCATTCCTAAACAGATTACAATTTGACACAGAGAAGATAATTAGAAACCCTCTCTTGTAACTGAAAACTATAAATCTTGATAACATTTATCTAAATTGGAAAAAAATGTTATGAGCAGCAATTTACTAGCTCACACTATCATAATTTTTTACAGCTCAAAAATAAACTTAATGTGTAGTTAAAATGGTTCGTTATTTGCTGTTTAAAAGATACATTGATTAATTTTGTACAAATTTGCTTCTATTTTGTTTTTAGATCGGAAATGCAGTGTTTATTTCATAATTTGATTACTTAACTTAATATTGCATCCAATTTGAGCTCCCTAATTTAAATCAATCATTCCAGAAATTTTCCTCAGTGTGAAGTTAAAATTTTTCTCGAAAAGGACGAGCAGTTCAATATAACAAATCAATCACCTGATAAAGTGGTCACGCGACGGTAAACATAATTTTTATAGCTTACGGTAATTAAGAGTCGATAAACATAGTTTAGATTATTAAATAGGTCGTGATGATTTGTTTTTCAGTAGAAATCCTAAAATTTATTCAGGCTCAAATTTACTTTTTTTGCGACTTGACTTTTGATTTCTTTTAAAATTCAGTTCATTTCCTTTGCTAAAAGTAAAGCAAAATCCACAATCGAACAGCGAAAGTGTACAGGTGCAAAAAACATGATCGAATTCTAATTTCAAAAGTGCAATTCAATTATAAAAGTAGGTCCCCATAAACCATACCGATAAAACTTGTGGAGTAGAAATTTGTCACTTTCTGTATCGAATGCCCTAAATGGATGAATAAATGAGCAATGAGGTTCTTTTTTTCAATCATTCAAGAAGAATTGTCACTACTGCAACAATAGCATCGATAGTGTTTGTGTTACCCTAAATCTACACTTACTTGTATTGAGACAATATATGTGATTTAGTCCGATTTTTTTTATAAATCCGAGCATTTAAAATTGTTTCGGAAACTTTGCCTATTACTGGGTGTAAGTAAATTGGCCTATAATTGCTTGGTTCATGCCTTGGACATGTTAAACGAAATGAAACTACACCGTTTTTTTAGCATATCTGGATTTTTTTACTCAAACGGTTATTAAACAGGGTGCGCAGATACTCTGGTAGTGTTGGGTTCATGCTCTTTACGAAAAACTTCTTATGGAATAAAAGTCCTCTTGAGTTATTCTGAACATTGTTATTGGTCTGAAAAACTTGGACATTAGAAATTTTTTCGGGGATTTTTAATCTTTCGTTTGAATTTACTTTTCGGTAGCTGTTTTTCTACTTTTCACACAAGTTATTCAATTTTTTAGTCTTTGGTAGAGTTCTACTCAGTTTTTTTCCGGATTTGATTTCTCACCACCTTGAAAACTTTAAATTCATCTTTCTTAATTCAATTTTGTTTTCGTACCGCTGTTTTCAAAATTTAGGCAAAAATTATCGAAAAATTGCTTGATTCAAGTTTTTTTTTGCAGCAGGAGTTCCAGTTCTAGGAAATCTTACCGCACTTGGCTTTTCTCTTGATAGTTTGTTCGCTGGTAAAACCTGAAGTTTTTATCTATTTGAAGTTCCGACTTCTTAAGTTGGTTAATTGGATCATCGTTGTATATCATGGTTCGGGGTTATTTCAGCTATTAGCTCTTCAGATGTTTACCAAATTGAATCATGATCAACAATATCTGTTTTTATTGCAAGGCAATTGCAATCATAATTGCAAAGAGTAAATGGTTCTATGTTTTTGATTGTTCTGTCTCTTGAGTCACTGGGATATCAGTTTTTAGCTTTAATATGTGCATGATCATGATTTCCTAATTCGAAAAGGCTGCAAAGACATCACGTCGCAGCGTTACCAAATGAAAACCTCAAAATTTTGATGTAGATTATCGAATTTGAGGTTTGATGAGGTTGTGTGGTTGAAAAAACCCGACAAAAAACTGTCATTGGGCTAATTTGGGGTTAATAAAATCTTCATGACGAAAAACTGAAAAAATATGTTGACACGCTTAAAATTTCAGTTTGCTTATTATGATTTTAAGAAAAAATCTGTTTAGATGAGTCCTGACCAACCCTTCCTCTTTTTCTTGTTTTGTTACAGGTTATCATGCGGGGGTGATTGGCTGCTATCATGGTGTCATCATTGCACCAAGTTTCCGTTAAATCTATGATTTCTGGTTTATTATTAAGTTAGACTTTAAAGTTGCTGCAAGAAAGATTTTTTTAATGTCAACTAAATGTTTCATATGAAAGTATATATTTTTTTAATATTCAAATTATTTGAAATTTCAATTGTTTGAAAAGCAAAATTTTATTGCTTTAATTGGTGAAAGCAGACTTTCAAGTTAAGTTTATTTTCTACCTAACGCGGAAGTGGCAGAAACTAGATTTGAGAGTATATAAACAAGAGCAAGAAACACTGGTTTTTGAAAATACGAGCCGTAGGCTTGTCTATTGTTAAGCAAATTAATCTGTCTGCAGTTGACGCCGAAGTTGCAGAAACAATGCTAACTGAAACTGAAATCTTTGAAAAAGGAAAAGTTCAACTTAAATAGAAATATAAGCAATAAGAGCGAAGAAAAACAGAAGTATAATAAAATATGAATGTTTTCCTGTGCAACAAGGCCACAGCTCATCAAAACGAAATCGTCCGATTGATGGTAACCTACGTCATGTTATCTAAAACTTTGACGTGACAGCTCAATGCCAATAACTAAGCAGCTAATAAAGTTCAAAGCTTAGTTAATTAAGCAGCTCTTTGCAGTTGTAAAGTTGTTACATGTACAGGGCTTTTTTCTTGCAGAAGCTTCTCTTTTCGTGAGACAAAGAGGCACATAGCTGTCACATTTTATCCTCATCTGAGGTAGTCTCCTGGTATTGGCGCTTGTTGCCTTCGGTTCACAGAATTTTATAGTTCAGCAACGTCATCAGCGTTCTTATTTTTTTGTAATTGATTTTCCCATAGTCACTTTTGCGCAGTAGTGATGCTGCACCGTTTTTCGTAACTGCTATCAAACTTTTTGAATAACAAGTTGTATGAAGGCATTCCTATGATGTTTTTCATGTACTTCTAATTGTTTCTAACAATAGTGGCCTCGTCCTTCTGAACAAAGTCCTACTATTCACAATCATCGATTTTTATATACCCTTTTCAAGAGCTTTTGGACTGAGGAAAATATGCAAAGCTTTCAAACCTACAAAATTGACCTTGCAATCTGGAGCTTTTTTAAGAGTTTGAAAGTTTGCCAGCAAAATTTTTTAGCATGCATCGAAAAAAAGCTTATAGATTACAATAGATCCTTACTCGTTCACCTTTCTGGTTCTTTGTAGTAGTTAGAACAGATGAAAGATGCCCAAGGGAAAAAAAGCTTGGCTTGAGGGCAAGAAGGGCCCGATGGCGGCTCTTCTGCCCGAGGAAATCTTTAACTATGTTCTAACTGTTGAAGATGATGTTTTTCGCTCTTTTTCCCGAGGCCATGTTCAACTATGTTCTAACTGCTGAAGAGTGTGTTTTTTGCTCTTTTTGTTTGTTTTTGCTCTTTCAAATGTTATAATCGGGCTTCTTTCAAAAAAAGAGCCCCGTAAATTGTGAAAAAAGGCAAATGATTTGTGTTTTCACTCATGCGTTCTAATATTTCATTTTTCGTTCATGCCTTGTTGTGAAAAAACATGTGTGAAAGAGCAAAAACATACTCTTCTAATCTTGACTCTAACGCGGACGAGATCTTTCACTAATCTCCGATTTTCCTATCTGTTTTCTAAAGTACTACCGGACATTTTCAGGAAATATTTGGTAAATAAGCCGACAGAATTGAAGCTGAAATGAGCCGAAAAATTTCATCAATTAAAACAGATAGGAAAAAAATAATGTAACGCCTACATAGGATTCACGATAGCTCTTTAAGTAGGTTCTGCAAAATAGATTACATAGTTTGGAAACTAATCCGACAGAGCTGCAGTCGAAAACCATGAAACCGTGAAACTATCAGTTGAAAATTATTATCAAAACTAAACTTATACATACAATTATTTGAGTTCTAGATATAGCAAACTAGTACCCGGTATTTAAGTGCGATTTTTCATGAAATGGAGCATGTCAGCAGCGTAGCAGCATCATTATAGTTTCAAATAATTTTGTTAAACTAGTTGTTAACTCAAAAAAGTCTATATTCCGTTTCAATAACGCCCTCTAATTGCAAGTGTAACAATTTAACGATACAAATTGATATAACTTAAGACTTTAGAATTTTTTGAACACAGGATTTTTGTAAATACCTGTAACACCTTGTGAACTTTTGAAGCACGTTGCACTTTTTTAACGATAAAATGTCAATCAACATTTGAATTGACAATTTGACTAATTTTCTCACATTGTTCACGAAAAAATTTTTCTCGATTTTTCCAAAGCAACTGTTGCATGAAATTTATGCCAATTGGGAAATTTTTTATTTTTATGCCATTTGGGAATTATGCCATTTGAGACGTAATCGTATTTTCCTGTGCAACAATGCTACAGCTAAGTAGAACGAAATTGCCCGTTGATGATAACCTACGTCATATAACCTATTTTGTTGTGGCAAATCAAGGCCAATTTTCGGGAGAAAAAGAATCACATAGTCGTCACATTTTATCGCTGTCTGAGATGGTCTCATTGTATTGGCGCTTGTTGCCTTCGGTTCACAGAATTTTATAGCTCAAAAAAAAAATTATACTTACAGTTGTTTGAGTTCTAGAAATAACAAACAAGTACCCGGTATTTAAGTTGAGTTTTCATGAAATTGAGCATGTCAGCAACATAGCAGCATCAAATTTGTTTCAACTTATTTTGTTAAACTAGTTCTTAACCCGAAATAAAGTCTATATTCCAATTTGACAACGCTTGCTATTCGCAAGTGTAACAATATAACGATACGTTTCGATATAACTTGAGAAATTTTTAGAATTTTTGACCACTTACTTATTGTAAATATGTAATACTTTTGTAGCACGTTGCATGAAAGTGAAATTTCTTTTTATAGCTACGATCGTAGAACCCCACTACCTCAAGAATATCAACCGCTTTTAACGGGGAGTTGAATTAAAAAATGATGTGTTAGTTATTAATGCAAACAGAGTTTTTTTGCGT